GGAGGACGGCCCTAAGGAATGGATGTAGGGGAAAACGGACTCCGCCCTCCGTAATGGATAGGAGAGGCAACACGATTGTGTTGCGATCCTCTCTCTCCATATCCAGAGTATTGTCTGTCACTAGCGATAGATGAACGTCATCAGGAATAGAAAAATGTCATCGAAATCCCGAGATACGACCTTCGGAAAGGAGGTCTTTCAAGTGCTTAGCCATTTTAGCAAAGATCCGAGGGTATACCAAAGCTAAAAAAAAAAAAAAAGCACGGAAAATAGGATCGCAAAGAAAGAAAGAAAACTTATGAGGTGAAGAAGACGAGGGTAGACGGATGAAAGTTGCAGAGAAAAGCGTCAGAAGAGCAATATCGTCTGGGAATCCAGGAGGCCCAAGTATTCGAGAAAAGCATGCATTCGAAAGGACTGAAGTTTCAAATCGTATTAAATGCAAAAGGTGCACAAATGAGGCGGGAAAGCATAATGATGACCAAAAAGACTTGCGCGCTCTGACACATTGGGATAGGCAGAGCTGCCTAACTTATGTCTTGGCTTTTCAGAATCAAAACCAAACACGCCAGTTAACTACTGTCAATGGCGAGTTTGGGGGGCAATTGTGGAAGTCGAATAATTGGCAATGCCGGGAAGAGTGTACTCTGCAGAACAAACACTATTCGGTGTTATCCAGCCGGCTCAGGAGGCTGAATACAATAGACAGGCCAGATAAGCGTAAATCCATGGAGCCGAATATGAGAGAGGACAATGAGTTACGAGTAAGCCCTGGCCCCGAGTCCTGGGAAACGAGTATAAATAGAGGAACTACAGACAAAGACAGTGGTAGAAAAAAGAAGGGTAAGAATTTCCTTGTTCAACTTAGAATACAAATAACCTAGAGCTTAAGATTGACTTGTCTGTCGGAGTGCTAATTCTGGCACCCACGTCGGAGTGTTTGTTTCCTTTCAGGTGACTATCTGAGGACTTCTAACGTCTCCCAGGATCAGAAGGGTATTTCCAAACCACTTCCACACAATTGGCGCCGTCTGTGGGAATACTCGAATACATCCATGGAAGGCATAACCGAAGATCCTCCGGTAGTCATTGACGAGATTACACAGAGGGATGACCTTTTGTGAACTTTGGCTCGCCAACGACTTCAACGCAAGAGACAATGCAAGAAATTATGGAACAAGCAAAGCAGAATGAATAGTGGCTAGAGAATATGATCACTGAAAATGAACGTCTCCGTCAAGATTTGGCCTCGAAAGTAGCGAAATCCAGAGAAGCCGCGCGGCAAGATCCCGAATGACCTCCAGAGGCAGGTGAACAACGACCTCGAGCCCGACCAAGGGACACCGATAGTGACTCCAACTCATTATCCACGGGGCCCGACAAGACGGGACGATCCGAAACCTCCAGCTTCTCCGAAAAACGTCTACGAAGAAGGAATAAGTGCAGGAGAAACAGTTCGGATGAAGAAGATTAGCACGATCCCTTTGTCCAACTGATTGCAGGGGAAATTCTTCCCAAGAAGTTCAAAGCTCCGTCATTTACCCTCTACGATGGAAAATCAGACCCCACCGATCACATCCGTCACTACAAGCAAGCCATGACATTGCATGCAGACAATGAGGCCCTCATGTGTCGAATATACCCCAGCAGCTTGGGACCTCTGGTAGTCAGGTGGTATTACAAACTGGAGACGGCTTCGGTCAAAAGCTTCCATCAATTAGAGAAGTCCTTCAGGGCCAGATTTATCACCAACGAGGTCCATCCGAAACAAGCAAACTCTCTCTGGGCGATGCAAATTCAACCTGAAAAAACACTGAGAGCGTATTCGGTGCGCTATTGGGAATGCTTTAATCTTGTTAACGACGCTTGCAATGACACCATGGCCACCACCACCTTCAAAATGGAATTGTAACCAGACAGTCCCCTCCGCAGTTCCTTGACCAGAAGAATGCCCAAAACAGTCTGGGGGTTGATGATGAAAGTTTAAGAATACTGCAAGGTAGAGGACGATGCCTTGAGGGTTAAAGCCGGACGCGTATCCAGTAAAATGGCCTCCCCTGAAATTGCTCAGCCAATAAGTTTCGTACCACCTCAAAGCCCAGAACCATGGCAGCGGGGTAAACGAGATAAAAGGCGGGATTCTCGCCAATCAAACGATCAGTGCTCTCACCGAACGAATGAACAACTGCAAGTTGACAGCAGGCGCACGAGACATACCGACAAAAAATATATGGAACTGACAAAGCTGATCAATTCGGTAATGTCCAAAATCCAACATCTCCCATTCTTCAAATGGCTGTCGAAGATGGTAGGCCCTCCTGACACACGAAGGGGGGATAAGCGCTGCGAGTATCACAAAGATCATGGCCACAAAACTAAAAGTTGCTATGCATTAAAGGATCACCTGGAGGAGCTGGTGTAAGATGGCCAGCTGCAATAGTACGTAAGAAAAGGCAACCCAACCAAGGCACTAGCCTTAAGACAAGATTCACCTCCACTTGGCGTGATCCATATGATATACAGCCTACCAGCACCTCTAACCGTGCACACAAATCAATCGCATCCAGTCCCCTGAGAGCAACATACTCCAACCAAACGGCCCAAAAAGCTCCGAGTATTACCTTCAATGATTCTGATCTTGTTAGCATGACAATCTCCCACATTGATCCGTTGATCATCAGATTACGCGTAAGCCAGTTTACCGTCGAACGCATTCTTGTAGATCCAGGGAGCACATCGGAGCTTATGTATTATGAGACCCTCATCAAACTCGGCTTCAACGAGTCAGATCTGTCTCCGGCGCCTTATCCGTTATTCGGCTTCAACACGAATCCAGAGTATCCGTTGGGGAAGATCACACTACCCGTTCGAGCGGGCTCCAGAACAGTCAAGGTTGAATTCTTGGTCGTAAAGCTTCCTTCGCCGTATAATGTCATCATGGGGCGAACCTGGATGCATATCATGCAGGCCGTGCCAAGCACTTATCATCAGCTTATGCGCTTCCTGATAGCCCGTGGCATTGAAGAGATCTGTGGCTGCCAGCAGTCAGCATGAATAGTTTTATGAAAGTTCTATCACTGACCCGACTTGTGGGCTTTGATACTTGTATTTAGCTGACTTTTGCAATGAAAAGTCTCATCTTTTTCCATCATGCAATTCACTTCCCATTATAGTGTCAAATAAGCCTCCGGATTCGGAGCCCCCTTCGGTGCAAAACATGTTGGGGCCGATTAAGTCTCTGGATTCGGAGCGCCATTCGTGGATATCACGATTGGCTCAAATAAGCCTTCGTATTCGGAGCGCCCTTCGATGCATGACACCTTAGGACCGATTAAGCCTCCGGATTCAGAGCCCCATTCGGTGCATGACACGTTGGGGCCGATTAAGTCTCCAGATTCAGAGCGCTCTTCGTGGATATCACGATT